TCGAGAGTAAGAATCAACAATATACGTATGTACCTAAATGCTTAAATGTAGCTCAGTATTGTTACGTAAATCTGAATTTTCTAGAAACCTCCACACGCCTATAAATATTAACAACAACGCGCCAAAGAGAGTATCTATTATTAGTGCGCTGTGGTCAGTGTGCTATAAATTTCGGAAGTTATAACTGTGGTTGTTATAACGCTTATCAATCGGAAAACTTCAGATATTTTACTAGAAGCATTTACAAAATCCGAGCATTAGAAATCATTTAACTTCAGTGGATTCACATCGGACATTAGTATTTTTACGAAAACATTACCTAACGTCATCGGTAGAAACTTGACCTGTATTCGGCTGTGATCAGCGAGAACTACAGGGCTAGCTAGTTCCCCATTAAGTGAATTATACCTACGTAAACTCGTAATCAACTCACTCATCGTGAACCCTCGATAAGATATCGAAGAAGTTCCAGACTAAAAGGAAGACTTTATATTGCTTATAAGTTTGTGAGACTTTTGTTTATAAATCATTGTTTGTAATAACTATTTGTTATAACTGTTACTGTAAATTGTATTGTTGTGTGTATATATTAAAACGTATTTGTGTTAAAAAAGAAAATTGTGTGTATCAGTCTTGTTGGCAAATGTCATAAACTAACTATATATCGGCTTTTACTTAACTGATAAATCCAAAGTACAATTTAACTACAAATTTAAATTATCATTTAACTCAATTTCAGGGTATTTGAAATCCTAATACGTAACATAAGTCATTATCAAAATTCAATTGAAATACATACATATAATGACTTCACACTTACCACTAAAGTTAGATTAACGCTAGAGTCATGCTGGTAAGTACCATGATAGCACAACCGTCCACCAGGTAGCAAAACCGGTTCATTACACTCTAATACAAAATCAGTCCATTTTAAACTTCTTCCATCAGGCTTTTTCAATAGAGTGGTCCTGATCTTGAGAGCCTGTGTAAGTACGTGTGTTTTTAGGTTACTTATAATGGATGAAGTAGATGATAATTTTTTAAATATAATAACTTTTCATAGTTTCAGCAAGTTTACTGATTTTAATGTTTGAAAATATTCTACTAAAATTCTCTTACTACAATATTTTTATTAAAAGCCTTCTTTCATCCTGTAGACGTCAAACAATTATTATATTTTGTACTTATGGTATGGTTGTGGCAGTCAGATATCAATCGTTGTGATGGCTAAGTCTAATTATAGATAACTAGTTTTAACTTACACTTCGGCTACTAATTCGTTACCATCTTCAGGGAAGTCAAGTGGATAACACTAAACTTCAACCAAGAAGACCCATCATTGCATCCCAACCAAAGAAATAAAATTTCTCAGAAGATCTTCCATGAAGATAGTAGCAGGTTAGCAGCCAAAACATAGGATCAAAACTAGTTAGTAATTAGTGTCGCCATAAAAAGAAAAGGAGTTACTAATTAATAGTTAGATTTAAGTATAGGCTACTAACCATAACAGCAACATATATTTTTGACTGGCTAAGAGAAATAACAATTTAACTTTATTTGTTGCTATTACTGACTTAATAGTTTATGTAGACAAAAGTGGCCAAATGATGACGGTAAATATCGAAATCTGCAACTCAGTGCAATGAAAAGGACATGACAACTTCTTTCATAATAAAAAAGTGAGAGATTTTTCAATTTTAAATTTATGATCTAAGACTTGTTTTAATTCGATAACTATGAGAAAGATAAAAAACTTCATATGTGGAAGTTTCTTCCAGTTTTGTATTTTTAATAAAATAATTAAAGGATCATCTAACTGAATATCTCAAACCAGTAACCTACCTGGTCAAGAAGAGCTACCAATGCTTCCTGACAGGAAGCTGTAACTGTAGCATAACTTTTCTGTAGGTTTCTCCAGGAGGATGACCCACTGTCCTCACTAGGTGATCTATCTGGAGTTGAAAATTTGTTTGTATCTGGTGGAAACTGATTATTTGAGTCTTGACATAGCTCATCACCAAGTTGCTCATTTTTGTTATTGCCCCCAAACTCTTCACGCAGACCGTACTTTTGTTGGGTATTCTTAAAATAGAGGAACCAGCATTTAATAACGAATATTGGCAAGTTATCTTACAGCCATATGATAAACAAGAATCACTAAGCGTTCCTAAAGAAGCAAATTTTAGCCATTGCGTGGTACTTTCTGCTAAAAATGAATGAACCTTGAGACAAAAGTTTCAGTATTTTTAAATCCATGTAGAAGCATATTATGAACCTAGAAACGGCCTATGTTTCAAAAGTGCTTTTATTAATGCGTTGACACATATTCCGAAATTGTCATTTATATATTTACAAATCCATAGCCTCTGTTCTGTAATAACCTTGAAACTCAAAAAAGTTGACATAAATTATATCTATCTTTCTTCTTCTGAAAGCCAATTTTTATAGTAAATCACTATAAGATTCCATAAAAGAAAAGCTAGTTGCAATAATTCAGAGAAACTAATGTGGGCTTTACTTAAAGGTAGTACACCTAAACGAAGTCATAATGTACAGTTACGACAGCGGAAGTCGCGTGACGCTGGGAGCATGCGCGCTGGAGTTTCTCGAATTATCGGGAAACCCCCGCGAATATCCGACTGTTTGCTAGACGCCCTCTTTTTTAGATATAAGCCTGGCAAAGAAAGCCAGCGAGTTAGATATAGAGATATATAATTAATAAAGCAAATAGTAGTGACGGTAAGTAAAGTGTGTGAATCACTGTGATTTAT